GTGTCAATGAAGGATATCTTAGGTACACACAGTTTCGAGCACTTCAACATCTCTCAAGTGCAGCATTATCTGTTTTATCCACTCAGGTCTTCTTAACATGAATTACAACTTTGTAGCTCTACTAAGTCTTCGTCAAAATTACTTGAGCTGTTGCTATGGAGGTTTAAGATGTGTATATAGCTTTTTTTCTTACTCCTCTGCAGTCACTGCTATTTGCTGCAGGCTTGAGGCCTACACCGGCTCAAGCAACTGTTGTCAGTTGGGTATGTTTACTACTTCAATTTTTGTTAGTTCGTTTACTTGTTTCGGGCCTACCGGTAAGTAGAATTCTTGTTAACTCTATTGGTTTAATAGATTTTGAAGGATGGGATGCAGCATGTGGGAAAGCTAATTTGTAGCAATTTGGGTGCAAGAATGGACTCTGAGCCAAAACGGTGGAGGATTGTTGGTATGCACTATGCATCGTTCTTTAGCTACATGTTTCTGCTGATGTCTCACAGTGTCAACCATAAAATGTAATTCATTTTATTTCCAGCTGACGTGCTTTACGATCTTGGTACTGGTCTGGAACTCGTTTCCCCTTTATGCCCACATCTGTTTCTTGAAATGGCTGGTCTTGGGAATTTTGCTAAGGTATGGGAGTATCTATCAGCTCTTACGCACTGAACCTTTTTGCCCAAAGGGCATTAAAGTGAAACTGTTCGTAGAACATCAGTGTTTGCCTTCCTTAGCAGTTTTCATAAATCAATCAGCTTCACTGGTTGGCTATAATTGTGTCTGTGTTTGATTCTCGAATAGGGAATGGCTGTGGTTGCAGCGAGGGCAACAAGATTACCAATCTATTCGTCTTTTGCTAAAGAAGGCAATCTTAGTGACATTTTTGCCAAAGGAGAAGCTATCTCTACTCTTTTTAATGTTGCCGGGATTGGGGTCGGGATTCAACTGGCTTCCACAATATGTTCATCAATGGAAGGAAAGGTATTTATTTTCCTTTTGCTCATCCGTTACTCTATCTGTTTGAGAAAGCAGTTTCTATTTGTTTGATTTATCTTAGAAAGGGATGATTTCTGCAGTTGGTGGTTGGGTCGATTCTCTCGGCTGTACATGTGTATAGCGTCGTAGAACAGATGCGAGGAGTACCGATCAACACACTGAATCCACAGAGAACCGCTTTGATCGTGGCTAATTTTCTCAAGGTAAATAGTAGTAGTTTTAGTTGAATCCTCCTAAAACCATTTTCTTTATATCTAGCTTTGTTACAATGAGAGTATTGTTGGATCTGTTTCAGACTGGTAAAGTCCCAAGCCCTCCTGATCTAAGATTCCAAGAAGACTTAATGTTCCCCGAGAGACCAATCCAAGACGCAGGAAATGTAAAAGTGGGAAGAGCTCTCCATAAAGCTGTGAAGCCTTCTCAGGTTCAGAAACTAAAAGAAGTGTTTGTAGAAGAGAAGTTCCTATTGAGTCACGGAAAATCATGGACCGATATGGTCTTAGAGCACGATGCAACTGGTGAAGATGCATTGCGAGGGTGGTTAGTTGCAGCGTATGCAAAGTCGATGAAAAAGATATACAATGACCACGATGATATAATATTGCAAGACGCGTATGACAAAATGAACGATGTCTTCAGTCCATTTTTATCGCAAGTGCAGGCTAAAGGATGGTATACCGATAGATTTCTCGATGGCACGGGAACAAGATTCGCTTGGTAGCTCCGAGTTTCAGGTAAATCTTTTGCAAGTGTGAACATAAGAAGTCTTTATCCAGATCATGAATCCACAATCTAGTGCTTCAAGACTCCTAGAGTCAGATTGTTAGGTGAAACCAAAGTAAAAGTGTTGGAGAAAAGTTTGACGGTACGGTTCTTGTCCTCGTTTGTACTTTTGTTAAGTCATTGTAGGTCTACATATTTTTATCATATAAACCAATCAAAGTGGAATCTGATTAGTATACTTTTTATGAAAATATAATTTTGTTTTTGAAGTAAAAAAGTTTGATATCTCTTGGTGGTTTAAAATTTTATTTTCCATGGTCAAATTATGTGTACTGGCTCTTTCTTTCCTTTAAACATGGACTCTTTAGTCTTCGTTTGTGAGTTTTTTTTTTATGTGAAATATCTCAAAGTATTACCACTTTTATTGAATCTTACACTAGATAAACAAAATTATCAAAACAACTTTATATATACGTGGGTCCATTTTTGTGGGTTTTTGATATCTTGGTAGAAAATTCGAATCATGGTTTTTTGTTTGGGATAAAACTTGGGATGATCAGCTAGTTTTGAACTAAGCTACTGATTTTGATTCTAAACGTTTCATATGAAATTAGCTTTTGCTTTTAGTGAATGTAACATTAAGAGGTTGTATCGCCTACACTCGGATTTCCACATAGATGGACTATAAAAAGAGGAAATTTTGGCACACAGTAGTCAAATTGTTGATCACACCACAATTACTCAGTATAATGAACGATGTCTTCAGTCCATTTTTAAACATACGTTTATCAATATTTTATACAAATGGTGTGTAAAATATGCGTATATATTTCGTCATCAACACTATAAATCTATAATTTGTAGAGTGTGGCTAGTTGGATCGGTTTGAAGAAGATAATTACAAACAAAAGGCTTCTTTCTTTTTTAACATGCATGTATAAATCAATAATATGTAACTCAGCCGACCCCGGAAATTTGCAAAACAAAAAGACAAAATTAGTATTTAATATATTGGATTGGACCCACTAAAATCTAGATTTTAGGTCACGATCCATTTGTACATTGATATTTGAATTTATCAATTATCAAACAACACTTGCATTATAAACATGGCAACTCCACAATTGGAGTGTATAGTGATAGTTATAAGAGAAGATAACCCCTCGCATTGTTATTAGAAAAACCCAAAAAAGAAAACGGAAAAGAGAAGAAATATAATTTGTGCAAAAAGGAAAGATCTTAGTAATGATGAAATTTAGATGTCGATAATCTTTGCTTTGTTTTAGTCTTTTTTTTTTAATGTTCTAATTTTGGTCTAAGTACATTTAATTTGAAACACCATACAAAGTTGCTTTTAACAGAAACAAACAAAATAGTTTATTTAAAGTAAAAAGTTGCATTTAAAACATGTAAAAACCAAGTTTCAAAAAAAAAAAAACATATAAAAACCTATCACTAAGTTATTATCAAATAGTGTCCAACAATTTCGTACATTTCATGATCTCATGTTTATGATTATTTTACTTAATGTCTTAATGACATACCGTAAGAAAGATATGGTGATCAGTAGACTATATATTTTAAGAGTTCATTGGTTTCATGGATTCAAATTTCTATTTACAAAGTAGTCATAAGCTTTTTCGAATATAAGATTCATATGACCAAAAATGTCGATACCAAGTCATATTTAATATTTATAAAAAAAAAAAAAAGAGGAGTCACCAAATCATACTAATTAAAATCATTTCAAAATTTTGTTTTTTGTTAACATGATCTCAAATTATATAAGAAAAGAGGAACCCCTTTACGTACCTAAGAGCAACTCCAATGGGACTGTATCCCACCAAATTTGGTGTAATGAGAACTCCAACCGAACGGCATAATGGACTGCAAATTTTTTTTTTTGGTGTTTTGTGAACAGTGTCACACCATATTTGGTGTGGCACTGTTTACAAAACACCAAAAAAAAAATATTATTTTATTTGTATATTTTATAAAGTATTGTAATTAAATTGTGATTATTCAACTAAAAATAAATGTACTAGTAACAAATTTTGTACTTTTTAATTTT